CAGCTAGAATTTCATTATCTGATAAGCACTTTTCTTTAAAATATATTTCAAAGTTTCTTTTATTAATAATAAGAAGAAAGGGATCCAAGATCCTGCAACAATACCTGAGCCAAATGCAAAAGCTCGATGATGGGAAATTGTGTTTAACCCTTCAAACAGAGAGGCCACGTCATTTTTAGGGCATTTATTTCAGCAGTGCTCCTGCTGGGGAAGCAAGCTGAGCAGTGTGATCAGATGTGGTGTTAGGCTGGGCTGAGGTGACCCAGATCTCTCCTTCCCTGGAGCCCTGATCAGGCTGTGTGCTTGCACTGCACCTTCCCTCCATCCATGGGACCCAGAGCATTTTACAGCATCTGTCCTGCTTCTCTCTGCCACACTCCTGACTCCATCACGGTGCATCTGTTGAAGCCACTGAGGCTTTATCAGCCTCATCTGGTTTCACAGTGGGAATTGAGTCCCATCCCACTGTAAGCCTGTGTGACCGTGTTCACAGGGGTTCTTGGATGAGGGAACAGATGAAGGATCTGACTCCATGTTTCAGAAGGCTTGATTTATTATTTTATCATATATATTACATTAAAACTATACTAAAAGAATAGAAGAAAAGGTTTCATCAGAAGGCTAGCAAGAATAGAAAGGAATGATAACAAAGGTTTGTGGCTTGGACAGAGAGTCTGAGCCAGCTGGACTGTGATTGTCCATTAATTAGAAACAACCACATGAGACCAATCACAGATGTACCTGTTGCATTCCACAGCAGCAGATAACCATTGTTTACATTTTGTTCCTGAGGCCTCTCAGCTTCTCAGGAGGAAAAATCCTAAGGAAAGGATTTTTCATAAAAGATGTCTGCGACAAGCTGGCACCATGGATACATTTGTTACACCCTGAAAGAGGCATTTACATCACATGAAGCCACTGATGCTCAGACAGAGTGAAAATATCTGAGTTCTTATAAAGCTCCTCTTGCTGGTGCATGGGATAATTGTGCTGTAGGTTTTTGGGATGTTTATTTTGAACTGCAGCTATGACAGAGCCATGGGTCCCCAGCCCTACTCCAGTAGGCAGCATATTTTCCTTATGTGTTCAAAGATAAGGGCCTTCCCTCAGAACTTTACAAAATAAGGAGTCATATCCCAGCCCAGTTGCTGGCTGTTTTCTGGTGTGCTTGGAAGTCAATCTGGATCATTTGCTGTGTGAAAGAGGGACACATGAGCTGGAGGGAAGGGGCAGGAGGGCTTCCACAAAACACCTGCCTGGCAAAAAGGCTTTCATGTGGAGGGATAGGTGACATTGAAGGCCTCAGTCACTAGCAGCAACCTGAAATCCCTGTCACAAGGGACAGGATATTCTCCAGGTAGTGCCAAGAGGTAGCCTATAGCAAGTGTTTGCTAATGATGATCCTTGTGGGTCCCTTCCAACTCAGAATATTCTGTGATTAGCAGAGATGTAATGGAGATAACATAGCAGGCTGCCTGGGCATCCACAACTTGCACACAGAACAGACATTCCTGCTATCCGTGGAAAAATCCTTCTCCAAACATTCCACATCACAGTGGCTACTCTCTGAGTTAGTCTTACTAGGTGGAAAGAAATTAAAAATTGCAATTGACTCACCAGTAAAAATATGTGAGTGTACCCAGCAAATAATGTAGATTCCCTCAGCACTTACCTAATAATTTTGCTTTTAATTAAACTGTCCATTCCCTCACTGATTTACATTTAAAAAGAAAACAACTATGTGTATTTCACTGGGAAACCTTCCCCTGGTGTTAAAAAAAAAAATTTTTGCTTTGCTTAATGTGAAAGATTTGGGGCCTGATCCTTGTTAACAACTTGCTGCCTTTCAGCTCCACCAAAATGAAGATGAACAGGTATGAAAGATTGTCACTGAAGGGGACATGCTCACCCTGTGTGCTTACAGGCTTTCTCTTCTGCTTTTTTGGGTTTTGTTTTTGGGGGTTTTTTTTGTTTGTTTTTTCGGGGGTTTTAGTGGTTTTTTTTATTGTTTTGTTTTGTTATGTTTCTGTTGTTGGTGTTGCTTTTAATGTACCATACAGTCTTTTGTTAGTACAGTTTTAGGCTCAATCTCTCCAAAGAAATAACTACAGTGGATGGGCAGTTATTTTATTATTATATTATTTAATATTTTATTATTATAGTATTTATTATTTTATTATGGGCACAAGAACTGGGAGCCACAGATCCCCAGCTTTGGGGGAAAGATGAATAAATTGCATCTCAGCAGCAGGCACCTCTGGCAGGGTCTGGCAGAGGCACCAAAGAAGAGGAGGTGATACCACTGTAGCATTTCTGGCTCTGAGAGACCAAAGGGCATCTTGTTTCCACTCACACAACTCCCCTAAGATGGGAATGAAGACCAAAAATTATGTTTCAAAACTCAAGTGCCTTTCTTCTTAAACTTGTCTTTCAAAATCTGTAATAATTTCTGAGGGAAAAATAAAAAGAAGCCCAAACTCTCTCCAATTCCAGCAAGAAACAGTGACTCCTGCTGCTCCCACTGCAATTAAGGCTCAGGTTGTTACCAGCAGGCCCCTGAGACACAGCAGTGAAACACCAGGTGCCTTTCTGGAGGAGCTACATGCCAAGACCACCAAGATTTGGAGCAGAAATGGAGATCCTTTGAGTGCTATAAAAAGGGCATCCCGGCTTAGTGCCTGCCACCACCACCTGGCAGCCAGGTCAGACACAGCTGGGCATGCTGCAGCCTTGGTGGCACATGGTGACCATGACACAGCTGAGCACCTGCACCCAGAGCAGGGCTGTGTTCATGGGAGAGCCAAATATGCAAGTGGAGAAATGAAACAACCTCCAGATGAGGCATTAAAAAGTGCTTCTCCTGTGCTGGCTTGCCATCCTCCCACAAAGTGAAAGGGACAAAGGGAAGAGTTTGTCTGTTGAGGTGGGAAAGTCTCTCAGGACTCAAAATTTCAGTGACACCCCTGCAGTCTCAGGCAGGAAGAGAGTGGACCATGATGTCTCCAGCAGAATGGCCTTGCCCCAGGGCTGCTGCAGCTGTGCTGCTGCTGACTGCTCCTGACAGGTATGTGCACACCACAGGTATGTTCACACCACAGCTCTGGCCTTGGCTCAAGGAACCAGATGGCAAAGGCTGAAACATCCTTGCATGGATGCTCAGTTTTGGGGAGAATGGAAAGAAGGTTGTGGGCTCAGAGCTGGGCCATGTCCAGAGTGCATCCCCATCTATTCACAGCAGTGGGGAGGTAGAGCAAGGGGTTAAGGGGTTGTACCCCCTTAGCTCCAATCACATCCCCCAAGTCCTCTACAAAAGAGACAGTCAGGAGGAGGCCCCTGTGTGAGCTGGGGAGGAAGGCTGTGCCTGGCTGGGCAAATCCCTGCTCCCTCTACATGCCCAGAAATCACCAGCATTGTCTATGCACCATGTTTTCACAGCCAGTCTGGGGCTGAGGTCAGGACCCGTTTGAGCTGGGTTTTATTTACCAAATGTAGCCTCATTTGGTAACAACATTTAAAAACATGTAAGATCAGAACAGTCCTTGTTGGCGAAAACATGCCCATTAATTTTCCTATCTTTGGACAAATTGTAAGTGGATGAGAGTCTGTAATATCCCTGGTGATATTGAACCTGAGAGGCATTCAGGAATTGCTGTCCTGGACCAGCCAAGCAGTCCATCAAGTTCAGCACCTTTTCCTTAAGACAAGCAGATTAACCTGTACTTTGAAGCCAACAGCTTTAGCATTTGCCTAAGTATGTCACACACAGGTTTGGATGTTCCTGTGTCCCCATTCGTGCTCCACCCACCAGCCACAGGGCCAGGGGCACCACTTCCATGCCCAGGCCACACATGGTGAGTCTGCAGACATCTCTGACGACCTCTTCCTCCTCTCCTTCTGGCAAGGAGTGGGTTTGGTTTATATTTGAAGCTCCTGTGTCATGCCAGCTTTGATGGATGTGGAGTTAAGACAAAGCCCACAGGCTATGGGATAGCCCAGGGTGAAAGAAAGGAAGAAGGAACTCTCAGTGCAGTCTCACACAGCAAAGACTGGAACATCTTCCCCTGTTCTGCAGCTGAGAAAAGTGAGGCTGATGTGGTGACCTGGAGCCACGCTGCAGCAGAATGCAATGCCAAGAAGTGAAGCTGGTTCCTGTAGCAGCCCACTCCTCTAGTTTTCTCCTCTGCTCTTCTCCAACACTTTTCCACATCTCCTCTTGTGTCTCCCCCTGCAGGGAGGCAGGCTGGGATCAGAAGCATCAGCAGCCTTGGAAAGCAGATAAGGTTCTCCAGCATAAAGAAGGCAGCAGTGCAGAATTACAATGACCAGAAACATGTTTTAGTAAAATATGAGACTTTCATGCCTAGAGCTGAACCCTGAGGGTTGCCATAGCTAAATAAAAGAGGGACAGGAAACAAGTTCAAATGCTGTTCCTGCTGTCATCTGCACGCTTGCCCTCCATCTCTGGCCTGGACTTCCCCAGTGGTCCAGCTGAAAGCAGGTCCATTTCTTTCCAAGATTGAGTGATGGTTAATCTCGGGATCACTCTCAAAATGAAGCAGGGATGAGCCGGGAGCAGGTTTTGCTCCCTCTGCTGTACGTACTCCTCCAGTGCCATCCCAGCCCACTTTTGAGCCCTCAATCACCTCCAGCAGCCCTGCGTGGCACTCCCTGACACATTTAAAATGTATCCTCAGCTTCATGTTGCAAACAGGATGCTAATGGGGCGTGAGACAGCTCTCCTGTAGTTTCAGGCATTTTTCAGGGGAGGGAGAAAAATCATGCCAAACGCTGAAGGTACCTTGCAAACAAAGATGGCCCAGAGGAGCCTGGGGATCACATCCTCGGCAGCACATCCATGGCCATCCTGCTCCATCGGCCAGGCAGCATGGATGTGCCCTGACTGCTTTTGTGTGCCAGCCTAGGCACCCGCAGCATCCCGAGACAAGGGCCAGGCTGGCTGGAGCGCCTGGCTCGCACTGAAACCCCCCAGTAAAAGTTACCTCTCGCCTCGTCCTCGAGGCATCAGTGGGAGTAGCCGGGTGTTGAGCCCTGCTGAGACCAAGTGCTGCGGTGGGAGAGCTCTGGGAGGCACCAGCGGCAGCGAGAGGGCAGCGTTTGGGGGGGATCAGCAGGAGCAGCAGGCACAAAGGGAGTTACATCTTCACCGGTCCAGTTCCAGACTGCTCATCTGCAAGGAGCTCCAGGCAGGCAGATCCAGACGGCTGCTAATGCAGGATCACAGCCCGAGGTTTTGTTTCCACCTTTGCCAGAGGCTTTGCACGAGTCTCAGCTTCCTTTGCCTGCGCAATGGGTACCTGGTGACTGACCTTCCTTTGTAAAGCTCCTGTCAGGCAAAGGGGGTTCCTGTGCCTGCACCTACAGCTTTCCTCTGTGCACTGACAAAAATGATGCTCGTCGGGTTGGTGCTCCTACAGCAAGAGCTCAACCGGAGAGAAGGATGACTTAAAATTAAAAAACGGGGGGGTTGG